GATCAACGGAAAAAGCATTCTTTTCTTCATCTATATCTTACAGGAAAAAAAAGGAAATGTGTTTTACCATAGTCATTATATTGTCAAATCACTCTTGTCTAGTGATTTATTTATATTTTTGGCAAAATAAAAGTACAAAAAAGAAAAGAAAATCAACTTTTGTCTTTTTGCAATGAATATTTCATTTCCACATATTTAGCTGTAAAAATTCTGATATTGAAAAAGTCAAGCTATAAAACAATTCGTATGTTATTGTTGTTTATTTTTATTATTTTTTTTTTTTTTTTGTAAATATTAAAATTCACTAATTAAATAATTTCTTGCTCATTGTACAGCTCGCTTTTTTTATTGGTTTTTTTGTCTTATGGTATATGTCTGCTTATCGATTCGACATGTACCGTCAATATCTGTTTAAATAGCTTTAAGAAAAAGGCAAAATTTTTTTGTTAAGTAATTCTTTATTGTTTAGAACAAGTACAACATCATTTCGTTCACCAAATACGAGTATTAGTTCATCAGCTTCCAATCTATTTGGTAATAATGCTGGTCAAACACCAAAACAAAAATCTTCAACACTTCCGGCTCGTGCTAAATAAATCGAAATCTTATCCTAGTATTCACTTAACCGGTCCCTTTCTTTTGTATATATATATATATACATATATTATATATTTCTATATTTTGCACGTCTATAAATTTGTTTGTTCTTTTTTTCTCTTGTTTGCAAATTAATTAGATATCATAAACGAAAAATGAAACAAAAAAAGTCAATCAAAGAAAAAAATTTTTCTTTTTTTTTTTTTTTCGTGTGTGAATCTCTTTTTTGGTGCTATCTGCTTTTTTTTCTCTCTCTTTTTTTTTTCTATTATAATATCGTCTTAAAAGAAAGCTGGTCATTTGAAGAATTAGTTTCGTAGACGATTTTAGCACTGTTCATGTTATTTTCTCTTTGATTATTGTCACTTAATTCTCTTTGTGTTACTAGAATCATGCTTTGTTTCTTTCTTTGTTTTTTTTTTGTCGCTTTCGTTCTCAGATGTTTGTAAGACGAACTTATTATGATCGTCAGAATCTCTTTTGTCTTTATTTGCAATTGTACGACCAACGATCTCGGATGTGTCAGTCGAAGAATTTAAAAAAAAAATAATAATAAAGTGTGAAGCACTACTAAAACACAAACAAATTCTTTTTTGTTTTTGTGTAATTTATGTGAGGAAATTATCTTAGATAGATTATAAAATTTTGCTTTTCAATTGTATCACATTGTATTAAATTTCATTAGTATGTGAATTATTCAATAATGCTGAAATGGAAAGATATGATGTGTTTTGGTTATTAATTAGTATTTTTAATTGACCGTAGAAAAGATCGAACGGAAAAAATATCAAAAAATGCTTTGACTACTAAGATGCACTTTTTATTGTATGAGATAATACTAATATGCCTAACAGAGATCGTATTGATCTAGGAACTTTTGCTGAATACTCATTAAGTGTACATTTCTAATATTTCGAGGCTGTGTCAGGTCAGAAATATAATTATCTGATAAGAACAAAATTAATAAATGAAATAACTGACGATGATGGTTCGCCTACATTTGTTGCAGATAAACAGCTGCGACAATGATGATAGGCTTTTAGTTATATAGTTATTATTTTCTTACTATTGCAGTTAACGTCTATCAAGTATTATGCATCATTATTGTTACTGGTTTTCACATACAAACTGATAAAATAACGAGACAAGCAATAATAAACTATTAGAGGACGAAAATCAACGTCTACCAAATGTGTTATTTTTTTTGTTACTTTTTGGTTTTGACAGTTGTACATCACGGGTTTTCGCTCTTATATTTCATCAATATTACTACTGTACAAAGGTCTTCATTAGTCATATAAATATAAATGAATGATTTTTAGAAATAATGAGAAACGATCTAAGGTTTTTGAACATAGCTTTTTTTATGGAATAAAAAAACTAATCAATTACATTTTTATTTCATTTCCAAGTTTTATATTTTAACAATGCACTCTTTATGTACGAATAAACACGAGGATGCTTTGCATGTTAACCTATTCTTAATCAGTTGTGAACAAGTACGGACTTTCTCAAGTACAAGTACCACAAATACCGCACTTGTATATGACTATAAGTACGAGTAGCGATCGTTCGCACTACAAGTACACATACGAGTATCGAACGCACGGCGTATGAATATGTACTTGTACATACCACGACTTGTCCTTAATTATATTATTTGTTATTTTTGTTCCACAAGATAAATTCATAACGAAAGGACCTTGTTTTATTAAATATGAAAAAAAGAAAAATTTATACAACTATGCATATCTGACTAATGTGTTAGTTTAGATAATAAAATCCAATGGAAAATATGTTTTTATTATTTAAAAGTCACAATCTTATCTATGCTTTTTTGACTTCTGTAAATAAACAAAAAAAAGAAAACTAAATAATTAAAATTTCTTCTTTTTTTTTCCTAATATTTTAGACTTTATGAGTACATACTAAGATATATATTTTGTTTACATCGATTTGTAATAAAGAAAAAAAGAATTGACAGTCAAGGAGACAATACTTATTAAATGCGATTGTAAAATGCTTTTATCAACAAAAAAAGTATCTATGACAATAGCTTCTTAGTAATAATAATACATACAATGAATCGTTTGATTTGAAGTATGCATTAAACCTTTTAGAACAAAAACTTATTTCTAAACGTTCGAAATCATGCTTTTCTATTTCGCATATGTTTTGTGAGTAATAATTAATCACTGTGGGGAATACGAATGACGATTCTTCTGTGATAATAACCATAGGAATTAAAGTATTCTGTTTTTTGGTTTTTCTTTTTCAAAATAATCATCATATTGAAAGTGAAACGACGCCATTTCATTATTTTCAAAGTATTCGAGTAAAATAAAAATATTAGCGATGATAAATCATGATGTTGACAAAATGATTATGAAAATTTAATGAAAAAAATGGAAAATCATAAATGATTATATTAAACAGAAATCGGTTGTTTTGTTCTTTTTTTGGAATAACTATAAATAACAATTCTTGACATTAAAAAGAAAAAAAAAACTTGACAATAGTAGTAGGCGGTTTCTCATGCTTATATTTTACTCCAAATGACATACATAAGAATAACTAAATTTGATAAATATTCAGGGCTTCTTTTTCATAAATGAACAAAAAAATTGTGTATACTTTGTCTTAGGATCTTCACATTATTTATATATGGAAGCTTCTAGCTCAAACACCTACGCCTTATCTTTTTCGTGTTCGTTGTCATTATTTCAAGGAATGTTGTATATACACGTTTCATCCCCAATAAGCTGACGAAATGTCGTTTTCCCAATGTGTCATTTATCAAGGTTTGTTTGATATAAATACGAAATAAAACGATTATACGACTTTATCTTTGCTTCACACTATCAATAATGGCCCCGAATAGTGTTGTTTGTCAATATCCTTCTAAAATAATGGTAAGTTAAGTTTTTTTTGTTTTTCTCCGTTGTTTTTTTACTTGTAATCTTTTACACTGCGCCCCTTCCTCTACTAAAAATAAATATTAAAAAAATGATACACAAGCGGTACATATGCACTCGTTATATACTAAATTTATTCACATTGTTCGTTCTGATACTGAATCATCATTTTAAAAATTGAATCATTTTTTAAATGTTTGCATTATAGTTTTGCGTAAATCATTTTTACACATGTGAGAGATTTAGCACCTTGCCCTAGAAGTTTTTCATTTCTTTTTTTTACAGAAAGAAACAAAAATAAAAACATGAAATTGAATGTCATGTGTAGAAAAAAAAAAAAGCAATAGAAACCATCTGTTGTTACTGCCACGTCATATAAATATATATTGATCATCAAATCCTTATGTGTCATCAAGATAGGAATGAGTGATAGATTGCTAAGAAGAAAAAAAAAGAAACACGAAGAAGCTGATGCAATCTAGAATAGAGGAAGTTGATAAATAATTATATATATATTTGTTTTAAAACACTAAAATTCTATTTCATGTAACCACATTTCGTTCGCGAATATTCTCTTTAATTGTCTAAAAAAAGAACACACACAGTAAAAAATTTTGTTAAATCCAAGGTCATCCATATTTTTTTTTCTTCTTCTTTGTGTTTGAATCACGATTATTATTTTTTTCTTTTTCTTTTTTTTTTTTTTATTTTTAAGTTAAATATAGAACAGTTTTCGTTTGCTTTGTCAATTATACATTTGATTATCTTTACAGATGTTTACCTTGAAATATCATGTGATTCGCAAACCAATTACTGTTTTTCTTTCTCTTGGAAAAACTGCGCAATAGATATCTAATAGAATGACGAAATATTATCATCCTTCGGCTTACTAAAACTTCTTATCCATTCTATGGGTACTTATCTGTTTAGTACTATACATCGCGGCAACTAAATAATCGTTGTTTATCGTCTTCTATCGTTAAAGAGACCAGCGAACACCTAACCCTTTCCATTTAGGTAAATAAAAGCGAACACGTGTTTATACGTATATATGCATATATATTCCTCAATTCTCTCTTTTTTCTTCTCACGCGCAGACACAGTCTTGTGACGTAGCGATAGCAAATGCGAACGAGGCACGTAAGCACAAGTCGTTGAGAGAATGGGCAATTTCACCCGGGTAAGAAAAAAGAAGAGAACGAGAAAAAAAAACGAGAGAAAAAAACGACAGAAAGAGAGAATGTTAGGCAGGCCACTAACTGTAGTAGTATATATAGCAAGCAAACTGTTCTATATAGTCTTTATTTCTCTCTCGTGCGCGCAAGCGGCGACTAACAAAATTGTGTGTGTTGCTAGTGAGTGAAAAAAGATCGTTCATCAGTTATAGAAAATTTGTTTGATGGGACTAACTTTATACAATAATTATTCAAAAGCAATTTAATTTATTATTATTTTAATTATCAGACAAAAGAAATAAAAATGGACGCCATGTTTACCTTCGTAAGTTCATTTAGAGATAAGAAAATCTATAAATTTAATTTATATCCACAATTATTTATATATATTCTTTTTTTTTGTTTATATTTAGAGTGAAGAAGAATTGAATACAGGAGCTATTCATTCACATGATGACTCAGCAAATAGTAGTCCTTCAACATCAAGTATGTTGACAACAACAACACAAAACGTAGGACGACCACAAATAAAACGACCGTCGTCATTACTTGTATCAACGCCACCAGGTAGATAAAATGAAAAGAATGAAATCATTTTTTTTTTCTACTATTGAATATACATTTAAAGAACTTGTTCTACGCGATACAACAAATGCCGAAAGTAAATCAGAAAATTCGCCGATAAATAGCGTGCAAAAACGACAGCAAAAAAAGAAGAAACGCCGAACAGCTAATTCATATTCGGATATATCATTCAATGATAAATATAAATTAACTGAAGAAATACTTGGAACCGGTGCACACGGGTATTTATCAAAAAAAGAAAAAAAAAACAAAGCAGAACTTTTTTTTTATAACATTTCGTTTTTTTTTTTTATTAGAGTTGTCAAGACGTGTCGCGATCGAATGACAAAACAAGAATATGCGGTTAAGGTATGTTGATTAGATTCGAGTGTTATCATTTAGTATATACATGAGAATATGCGATCTTTTTGAGTTGAATACGTGCTATTTGCAGAATGGTCAATATGTATTACGCATAGGGAAGAACGAGAACAACCCCGGACATGAATTATTTGTGACATATGAAGAGAAAAAAAAAAGGAGAAAAAGCGTAGAAGGAAAAGAAAAAGAAGAATGAACCGCAAAGAACATTCTAGATGAAAAAAAAAAGAACATCATTTTTCTTTTTCTGTTTAGATAATTAGTAAAGCGCGTCATCCGAATCGAACGCGTGTATTTAAAGAGATCGATATTTATTCTCATTGTCGTGGTTGTGAAAATATTCTAAGCATAATTGATTTTCTTGAAGATGATGACTATTTCTATCTTGTCTTTCAAAAAATGGAAGGCGGTATGTATAATAGAAAAAAAAAATATTATTCTTATTATAAATATTCTTCTTTTTTTTTTTTTGTGTGTGTTAAGGACCATTACTCAATCACATAATGAAACGTGGTCGTTTAACAGAACGTGAAACTAGTTTAATCGTACGTGATATTGCTAATGGTCTCAATTTTCTTCATTCCAAGGGCATGTCACATAGGTTTGCATATCAAAAATTATACAATTTCTTTTTTTTTTCTATGAAGTATCATTTATTATTTTATATAGAGATTTAAAGCCGGAAAATATCTTAGTCGAACGTGCCGATTCATTAATACCGATAAAATTATGTGATTTTGATTTGGGTTCAGCTATTCGTCTCAATAGTAATAAAACAACACCGATATCAACACCGGAATTATCAACACCTGTAATTATTTAGATAGAAAAAAAATTTTTTTTAAAAGTAATTTTTTATTTTTTTTTATTTAAAGGTCGGATCAGTGGAATTTATGGCTCCGGAAGTTGTTGATGCATGGACAAGTCTGGAAGGTTCATTGCAAATGTATGATAAACGTTGTGATTTATGGTCACTTGGTGTTATTATATATATAATGTTATGTGGTTATCCACCATTTTATAGTTCATGTGGTCATACATGTGGTTGGACAAAAGGTGAAGAATGTGAACAATGTCAGAGTTTATTATTTGAACGTATACAAGATGGAGAATTTGATTTTCCAGATAAAGATTGGAAATATATATCGAATGGTGCAAAAGATTTAATAAAACGTTTACTTGTACGTGATGCTTCATTACGTTTAACAGCTGCTGAAGTTCTTCAACATCCATGGGTTAAAAATAGTTATGAACTTGATGATGAACGTCCATTAAATACCCCAGAACTTTTACAAAGGTATAAAAAAAAAAAACAATAAATAAAAAATTCTTTTTTTTGGAAAATATAATTTCTTTTTTTGTAGACATGATAGTATTCGTCGTTTAGAATCATTTACAAAAGATGCATTAAGTATAACAAAAATGATTGAAGAACGTAAACGTATGGTGCATTATCGTTCACATAGTACTGATAGTTTACATCAACGAAGTCGATCATCGTCTCATGACGATGCTGATGATGATGAAGATTTTAATGAAGTAACACCTAATGTAAATAAACGACGTATACGAAAGAAGAAAAAACAACAACAAACAAAAAATCAAACAAATGTTGTTGATGATGATGATGATGATAATAATCAAAATTTTGAAAATTTAAGACGCAGATTATCAAGGTAAATATAATAAATAATTAGAACTAAGTAAAAGATCATAACAATATTATGAAATATTTTTCTTTTTAGTGCTACGATGACATCAGGTGAAGAAGATATTGGTGGTAGTGATGACTATTTTGGTTGTAGTTATAAAACAGTTATTCATCGGCCAATACCAAATTTTTATTTGCCACAAACAGATAATCTACCTCAACAAGCACCTCCATCACAACCACTACCGCCACCACCACCACCACCAACACAAACAATAGTTCTTACACCAACGCCATTAATACCAGCACCTGCATTACCTATTGTTATGCTTCCATCACCACCAATCAATTCTCCAATACATTATCGGGCTCATACAGATACTGATCTTGTTTATTATCAACATCAACATCAGCAACAACAACCTCAACCAATGTATCATCCAACTAATTGGTATCCACCGATATTTATCTATGGGCCACCACCACCACCATTTGTTATGCATCAAGCATCACTTCGAAGTTCATCAGTTGATTGTCGTCGTACGGCAAATAACATAAATGAACCTCATGTTATGCGTCCGGAAAGGGTTTGGTGAAAAAAATATATAAAAGCAAAAAAAAAATAAGAAGTGTCCTTGTTTTTTCTTTTTGTTTATTTGTTTTACTTTTATACATTTTTTTTTTTTGGCTTTTTTTTTCTTTCATCCCGCATGAATCCTTAGATCAGAAGAACGCGAATAGGATAGGTCGTTTTTCATACCCAGTGACTTCGATCTGACATTTAATGGATTTCCCTCTTTTTTGTTCTTCCCTTCAGTATTCTTTTTTCTTGTTGTACAGATTTGTTTTCTTTTCTCTTGTTAACATCAGGGTCAGTCGTGATGCGTATTATATACGGAAGAGAGATTGAATTGTATACTTGGAGATGAGATATAAAGTTATCGAATTCGAGCCGTTAAGTCTCCAATTTATGATTATTTCTTCTTCTCTAGTGTTTTTCTATCTCGTATTCGATCGCTCCGACTAAAATTTTGTTATAGTCTGTCTTTTTGTTTATCACGTTTTTTTTTTTTTTTTTTTGTTGTTCCATTGTAAATATATATATATATTTGCCTCTCTGTTCGCGTGCCATTTCGTTTCTTTCTTTTTTTTTCATTGCTCGAAATCATTAAATGTAGCTATCGAGCAAAATAAGGCAACGAATATTTTTCATTATGTATATAATTACATGTATGTAATTTCCTGGATATTTGCGAAGCATAACATATTAATTTACTTGTGAACATATATTCTTCTTCTTTTTCTTCTTTTTCTTTTGTTTTTCATCTATATCCGGTCTTAAGTCCTTGTATTTTCTATGAGTGAGTGTCTAAGATGAAATTCAAAAAAAAAAAAGATGAGTGATCTTCGTTTTTTTCTTTCTTCTTATTGCGCAATGATGACCAAAAGCCATGTTTGATGTTTGTTTTTCTATTATGATTATTTCTTCCTCTTTATGTTTGTGTGATTTCTTCTATGTTTTTTTTTTTTTTTTGGTTTCTATCTTGTCATCTTTTTGTTCTTGTGCTCTATCCATTATTCTTCTTTTTCTTTTTTTTTGTTCGTAGACTATTCGAGTTATTATTATGATCTAATTTGATGTATCTATGACATTCGAGGCGTCTGAAGGAGAAAAAAAAAGAGTAGCGAGTAAGATTATAGACAGACAGATAAGTGTAAGGACATTTTTTTCTTGTTTAGTTTAAGTTAATAAATAAAGAGAGAAAAAATAGCATTAGAATATAAGATTATTTAATAAATGTATACAAAAAAAAATATGACAATTTTATTTGTTAATTTAACACCTTTTTACTTTTCATTGAAATACGCATATGAATATAAATAATAAGAATAACAAAAACACAAAGAGAAATGAGGAGCCTTGAGATTATTGCTATTATATGCATCATTTATTATCTTTCATGAAGACGTGATGATAAGAATGTCGAAATATATTTATTTATGGCATTGTTGATTAAGTAGCTTAATCAAGAAATATTACAGAATATTCTAATTTACCATTAGATTCTATTCATTTTCAACATTAATAAACATTCAATATTTAAAATCATGATCGAAATATCTCTTTCCAACTTAAAAGTACACGAATGAAAATATTTTTTATTTACACGATATACCTGTGTAAAGGCGTCAAAAAAAAAGTTCATGCATCGTTAACTCTGATAATGATCACAAGATTGGATATGGAAAAAGTGGTCATAATTACCTTGATAGACATAAAATCGCGTACCAAGCATTGACTTGTTTTTCATTTATGCATGACAAAAAAAAAACAAGGTGAAACTAAGCACATTTTTTTTCTTTTTTATGTAAAGAAAACAAAATCGAATTGCACGTGATAATATTTATCGAACTCGAACATATGTTCAATAATTTTCTTTTAATCATAATAAAACTTTTAAAAAGAAAAAAAATTAGGTTTTTTGTTTTTTAATAATTTATGTATTTAGAATAACTAAATAGTACATCATATTCGTTATCATATTGCATTGATCAAATTTTCACTCTTATTAAAGTACATCGGTTTCGTATCAGCTCAGTTTACTCTTCATTTAACTTATGTTTAAAGGATACTTATCATGTTGATTGAGTTTATGTTGTACTTCGTTTTTTGTTTCCTAATATAAGATAAAGACAAGCATATCATATAACATTGTTTGAAATATTGATGTCAGAAGAATTTAAATGTTTATTAACGAAACAAGGATTTGATGACAATGCTGAATATCGAATTAAAATTCTTATCAAAATATTTACTTGTTTTAATCATGGCTTTTCTAGCTCTATAAAAACACCCATGAATTTCGTTGTTTTGTTCTAAGACGCAATTCAACTTAAACGATCAACTGACAAATTTATTATTATGTGGATTTTAAATAGTATGATCGTTATTGCAATTGCATTATTTATGCAATTGCATAATGTACATGCTCAAAGTGCATGTACACCCGCAGCATTAGCAACTTGTGCTCCATATACATGTGTTCAAACGGAGAATATTTTTTCGTGTCTTTGTTCAACCATGCAATTGGCACAAAGTGCAGCAGAATGTAATAGTATTAATCCTGTTGTAACAACACAACCTCCAGTTGTTATTCCAAATCAATGTACAAATGCTGTATGTCCTGCTGGTGCTACATGTGTACCAACAAATCAAAATCCAGCACTTTATATATGCGTTTGTCCAAATAATATTATTGCTAATCCTGATTGTCCAATAAATCCACCACCGTCTAATCAATGTGTTTTAAACAATCCGTGTAGAAATGGAGGAACTTGTGTTATTAATCAACTCACACTTCAAGCTGTTTGCATTTGTCCACCAAATACTTATGGTCAAAATTGTGCAACTCCTTGTCGTCCAATGTGTGATAATAGCTGGTAAAATATATATGAAATTTATTTTGAAAGAGAAAAGACAAAATAAAAAGAAATATTTTATAAATATATATATATTATAGGTGTTACAATGGCGGTAGATGTGCTAATGTATATGGTCAAGCTTATTGTATGTGTCCATACAATTATCGTGGTCGACGTTGCGAACTTCGATATAGTGCCTATAACTATGTCTATTTATATTATTATCCTTATCATTATGGTAAATAAATTGAAGTTTTCTTCAATGACTACATGGCATTATTTTATTTTTTTGTTTACATAAAATAAAAGATTTATTCTTGAAAAATGAATTCCTCGATGGATTAAATAGAATTTCTATAAATGTTGATTGATCAATGTCTTAAATTTATAATTAAAGTTTTAAAGTGTCATCAGACATTGATAGTGATGACTGGGAATATCAAAAAACGCATAATTCAAACTAGTACAAGAAATAATCTATAGTGGTTGACTTAATGAGTTCATTTTCTTCTTTTTTACGGCTCATCCAAAGAGGCTCTCAGAACTCCAAAAAATGTTTAATTCATCACAAGTTCAAGAAAAAGTCCGCCAAGATTATGTTAAGGTATGCATGTAAGACTTCGATTTACGCCACATATTTGTGCAAAACTTGAGATATGTAAAATGGTTCTTCGCTGGAATTTGGTCACTGCTCAAAATTGTGGGCATATACTCAGTGACCAAGCACAATCGAAGCTGAGCTACATCATAGTCAGTCTTACAGATACTTACGTGAATGAGTATTCGTTGTGTAGTGATGTTCGGTCAAGACTTTTACTCAGTAGAACGTAAGAAACACAGTTTTTGTTAGTATTCTTGTTGATAAATAAAAGGAAAAAGACAATCGACATTTGGTAGAAAGTAAGATGGTATTTGTGAACAAGAACGGGGTCATAATTGTAAATTAGTTTCAATTCAACTCATAATTAACTGTCAATTTTCCATGCAAAATAAGTTGGTCAATCAATTTCAGACATGATCCAAGACTTCTTCGTTTGAACTATAGTTCTTTTTATGCTTTTCGAGTTTTCAATCAAGTTGAGATTTCACGGACGTATTTTGTTTCACTTTTTTAGTCGAAAAACTGATGGGTCATAGTCGGACTTTACACCAATCGAAGAACTTGAAAAGTATTTGGAACCGTGTACATGCACATAAATTAAGAAATTCTACATTTGTCCAGTAAACTCAAATCGTTGGGTGTGGGTGAGCAGAACAACTACACCTCACCCACAGCTACAGTCATATTCTTTTCCGTTTAATAATAAACCCTTCCAATGAAAATATGAAAGAAAAACCCTTAAAAAAAACGTCATTTACCCTTTTCAAATTCATCTACCCTTAAAATCACAAAGCCTTTGACTGGTGAATCTTTCCAGAATTTATGAAAAAATTTTGAAAAGGCAAGCGTTTTTTTATAGTGTGGTGCATCCGTAGCTCAGACTCACACCCTGTTGCTTTTTGAGATCTAACTCTAATGGAATTTAACTTAGTAGTGAAGAGAGCAGTGAAAAATTTTGCTTAAAATGAATTGTTTGTCGTCAACTTGGTTTCATCCATCAGAAATGCAAGGCAACTGAATTGTTTTTCTTCAGTCATCTCTGTTTACTCTTTCTTTCGATCGTATGTTGGTAAAATAACAAAAAAACAGCTTCAAGTAGGATGTGTTTTTTCCAAGCAAAGAAAAAAAATGAAAAAAAACAAAACAAAAGAGTAGAGTGTGGGAGTACTTCTCTTCGTGGTGAGAATAAATTTATTCAATCATTTTTTAGGCTTTTATTTTATTTTGTTGGCAATACCATTTCGAAGACGGTGATCTCTGTTCGTGAGTATTTTTCAAAACACGATATACATTTTCATTTATTTAAATATTTTGCTACAGTTTTAAAAAAATATTAAACAATAAAATGATACATAACGCAGTCGATTCCATCAGTAGCAGTCTGATACAAGTTTTCCAGTCAAATCTATTTGTCCTAATGAATAAAATAGAAGTAAACTAGGATAAATCAATGAGAATTCTATAGAGGGCATACGGCTATCTATGCTACTAATAATGTATCGAGAAGACATTACAGACATTAACGATAAGTTCAGGTTTTAGGCTAGCAATGCTCCCATTTACTCCATCTGGCAGAGAATCGAATGTATAGTAGAGTGATAACGATTAGAAAGTGTTGCATTCGCGAAAGTTCTTAAAAATTAAAAAAACCGCTCTTACGAAGATATATTTGGAAAAAACCAATAGAGTTCTCTCAAATAATCACATTACGCGATGTTTTACCAAAAACCTGTTTTGCCTGCTAGATCTCGACGAACATTATCGATTGACTCATGATTCATAGATTCTCGTCCGTTATCGTAGACGCAGCGACACAGATATCTAGTATACAACTGCTCAAAAAAGCTGCTACCCAATATTTATCCGTTTGAGGATGTGGGTGTGGGTGTGAATACCCTTGAATTAAGTAACCACATCCACCTTTCGTAGACGGGTTTTGCGTCTGGTAACTAGTCATAATCTGGAATTTCTATTGTACACAATTTTTGGAAGTTCCATGTAGCTAATAAATAAAGAAAATATAATCTATTCAGCATAATTACATTCTTCACTCACACACAAGCTGAGCACACTATCAAAAGCACTAAGCAGAATGATTTCATTGAAGTGGAACAGACATAACAATGTATTCAAATTAGTAGTGTCACTAAAGATATTAAACGGTCTCACTCCTTGAAATTTATCATCAGACTATTTACTTGTGAAAAATGGTGTTAATAAATTATAATATCCAAGAAGTTCGATTATCTATGATTCTAGTGTAGTCTTTCGGTTCAATAAGCTATGCAACTTGACTATCATGCTCTTTTTTGAAAGCATTAATATTTTCCAACTTTATTCAACTTGCGATCACTATGATAATAAGATTTTTTTACAATATTCTCATAAGTGACTGTAGTGTTTGCGAAGTTTAATAGTGTCGAGGAACTGTTTTTGTAAAAGAACTGTTCTTTTGATAGTGTCATTCTAAGCTAGGTTAAGCTGGACTTCGATAAAGTAGAAGTCAGACAAGGCGGATATGAGAAATTCTTAGCCAAATAGGACCATCAAAAATGATTCTGATTTCGATACCCGGGACTATAGCATGAAAAATACAAAAAGTATGCAATAATGAAAAGAGTGTTTGGGTGTCGGTGGATGATTGCAAGCTGGGTTGGTTGGTGTCTGCAAAATAGAAGCCCTCACCTACCTAAAAATTCACTAGAGCACATCCAGCCCCGTTAAACCCATCTGTATTAGGTGGATGGAATTGTTTAATCCTGTAAAATTAATTTTCTAGGCCTTTATATTAGAAATAGAGATATTATATAAATATTCGTAGTTTCTGGAATTTCCTAGTTATCGACGAAACTTCTGAAAATGCTTATTACTTTATTTTGTAGGGCTCTTCATTCTGACATATATATATATCTTAATTTATAAGAGCTGCAGATGGCAAAACTATGGAAGTTTATGGAATATTATTATCTCACAGCATAGTAATTTCCATGAGTCTGGAAAGAGTCATTTCTGGTAGATGATTAAGTAAGGACATTGTTTCGAAATTTGTGATGTGAATGATGATAGTTTTAAAAATTTTGTCGGAATTGTTGTATTTGTTTCGCAAGTAGTTGTGTACATTTTGAAGAGAAGTTTAGTAATTTTCGCTTTCTTTGGAAATCTTGGTTTTATTGTGTCACAGTTTCTTCATAAATTTGATGATTTATAAAGAAAGTTTCCTTTTTTGTAAGGCGGCACACTGTTCTATTAGCGTGCTGATAAGATTTTGATAAAGCTTTGTTTTTGTTTGCACGAATCAATAGAATAAAAAGGTAAACGTGTATCTTCTGAAGAAAATTTCTTCTTTTTTAATGAACAATAAAAATTTTCTAATCATCATACAAAAGTGTGCTGGTTTTTTTCCATAAACTTATCTTCGATTAGTCGATAGTGTGCGAGAGATTTTTTACTTGATGTATTTTGTATCAGTATATATGACACAAGTCGAAGAAGATCTGTGAGTTTCAGATTTCACTCGCAGAGCAACTGTGTATACAAGGTTTTCTATATCGGAAATTGATACAGAGTATGCTTCTGAAAAGAATTCTATGTATTGAACAAAAAGCAACAGAAAGATGCATCAATACGAGTAGTGTTCTATACATTTAAAATTTCGAACTAGCAGATTCATTGGACTTAATCATTTTTTAATTTATAGTCTTGCTGACAAAATTCCATTCAATAATGTTGAAATCTTGAATAAGAAAATTTATGAACAGAAATTTTTAATTTTCGTATAAATCAAATGATAAAAGTTCGATCATTATAATGTCAATACAAATACACCATCAATAGATGAAAAAAAGAAATAAATGATTTTTTAAAAAACTATTGACTATGAATTAGTTATAACTCTTACCTATCAACACAATTCTAGAAGAGCCACTGATAAAATATTCACAACCATAGAGTGTTGCTTCCATCAATATGCTACAGAATATTAGTAAATCGACTAGACAGATTACCCTTAGTATAAAATGCTTTGATCAATTTCGTGAACATTGGGAGAGAATAACATGAAAAGTGACTTTTTCGTATATTTTATTTCATCATATATTTATAATTTTTTCTTAATAACAATGCACATTCAAGTCAATGGTTAGCCTTATTTAGAGATATTAGGACTTTGTGTCATTTTAATAGACATGAACAGCATGGTTCTGACTCCTATCGTGAGTCTATCTTATCACAAATGAAGTTGCAATTCAACCAGGCATCACTCTGATCATACTTACAGGAGAGTGAAGTATATCTAAGAGAATAGAATCATCTCCTTTTGGCTCGAAGCCGGATTCTGTCCCACGCTGAAAAACTATGTTGCCTCCATCTTGGGTTTGTTCTATAAGTAACAGGGGTGAGAATTGTACCGCTCACATATAATAATGACAGATCAAACTTGTATCTATAAGTGATGTCAATGATTGACTTAACTACTCATAGTTATCAAGAAACACTATAAATACAAAAACGCATAAAATATACAAAAAAAGTCCTTTTTCGTGTCACCTCCCCCAATAATAACTTTAATGACAATTTATGTAATATCATCTATCATCTGCCAAAGTACTGTGAAACTTTCGAGACATATCATATATAAGTCACTGGC